AAATCCCGATAATTGTATCCTGTGTTTTATTTTTAAACTGTGTTGTAATTGTGCGCAGCGTTGCCTTTGTCCTGAACGGCAGCCTGAAGATGCCCAAAGCAAAAATAAATTTGGAGGGAAGGAGGGGGCGAAAGTGTCGTAGCAATTATGGGAGCCAGAGGAGCAGCTGGACACGGCTTCCAGATTTTTGTTTCTCGCAGTCTCGTCTGCGTGACTCCCGAAAGCAAAAGAATTCGTAGCCTGTGTAGTGTCAGGAGACCTGGGTTCAAATCCTTACTCTGCCATTGGGCTCGTCGCCCTTTTTCTCTCTCTCTAATCTAATTCGCAGGGTTGTGGTGCTTTTAAAAATATTATTACCAATGTTCATTCAATTTATATACCGTCCTTCCTCCCAAAGGAGCCTGGCACAGCAAACACATAATTAAAACAACATCATTGAAAACATTCCGAAAGCAATCTAACATTCTAATTGCGTTATTTCAGCCAATGATTTCAAGGTACGGAGGGAACAGGTGACAAGCACTTTGTGGCATGTTGAGCTCCTTGGGGGCAGAGGAGGATAAAAATCAATGCAGTCTTTTATGCTCGTTTCCCTTAATCCTGATTTCCTTGATGGCACGTTTTTAATCCTGATTTCCTTGATGGCACGTTTTGAATTGCCTTTGTGTTCAGTTCTTCACTTTGTTATGCCAAATGCGGCCCCACAGAGCTCTAGCCAGGCCACGCCCCTTCAACATGTGTGTTTCTGTCCTTGTGCGTTTTTTGCCTGGCTGGGATGTGCCCTTATTTATTTATTTCATAAGATTTATACACCGATTGATTGTAAAAACCAAACAAAACTTCGAAGCGGTTTAGGTAAAGGTAAAGGTACCCCTGCCCGTACGGGCCAGTCTTGCCAGACTCTAGGGTTGTGCGCTCATCTCACTCTAGAGGCCGGGGGCCAGCGCTGTCCGCAGACACTTCCGGGTCATGTGGCCAGCGTGACAAGCTGCATCTGGCGAGCCAGCGCAGCACACGGAACGCCGTTTACCTTCCCACTGGTAAGCGGTCCCTATTTATCTACTTGCACCCGAAGGTGCTTTCGAACTGCTAGGTTGGCAGGCGCTGGGACCGAACGACGGGAGCGCACCCCGCCGCGGGGATTCGAACCGCTGACCTGATGATCGGCAAGTCCTAGGCGCTGAGGCTTTAACCCACAGCGCCACCCGCGTCCCTCGAAGCGGTTTACAAGGAGCTAAAGCAGGGAAATCAAGGAAAATGCACACCCCTGCTTTAATACATACAAAAGTTAAAATACTAAAAGAGATTAAAATTACCTCAACTTCTGAATCATCTGGGCATCACAGAATTGTAGAGTTGGGACCCCGAGGGTCATCTAGTCCAACCCCCTGCAATGCAGGAATCTTTTGCCCAACGTGGGGCTCAAACCCACAACCTTGAGATCAAGAGTCTCATGCTATGCACAGAGATAGGCTTGTCTGGGGGGAAAATGTTTTTAGCAGGCTCCGAAGAGCGTACAGTGGAGGTGCCTGTCTTATGTCAGTGGGCAGGGAGTTCCAAAGTGCAGACGCCTAAGTTCTTACAAAGGTGGAATGGGTGTTACGTGGTGCTTATAGTAGTTCCAATTCCACCAGTCGAAGTGGTCGAGTGGGCACCTGTGGGGTAAGGCGATCTCGTAGGTAAACTGGTCCCAAGTTTGTTAAGCTCTGATCTGCTTGAGCTCTGAACATGGAACCCTAGAAATGTCATTTTGGGGGGGGGGACCTCAAGGGCCATGTAGTCCAACCCTCTGCAATGCAGGAATCACATGCCTTTTGCTTGCCTGGATAGAGGATAGAGCAGGGGTCAGCAAACTTTTTCATCAGGGAGCCGGTCCACTGTCCCTCAGACGTTATGGGGGGGGGCCGGACTAAATTTTTTTTGGGGGTGGGGAAATGAACAAATTCCTATGTCCGACAAATATCCCAGAGATGCATTTTAAATAAAAGGACACGTTCTACTCGTGTAAAAACACCAGGCAGGCCCCACAAATAACCCAGAGATGCATTTTAAATAAAAGGACACATTCTACTCATGTAAAAACGCGCTGATTCCCGCTCCGTCCGCGGGCCAGATTTAGAAGGCGATTGGGCCGGATCCAGCCCCCGGGTCTTAGTTTGCCTACCCATGGGATAGAGTGCGTCTCTCTGTGTGTATAGAAGCTAGCCCAGGCATAGGCAAACTTGGCCCTCCAGATGTTTTGGAACTACAGCTCCCATCATCCCTAGCTAACAGGACCAGTGGTCAGGGATGATGGGAGTTGTAGTCCCAAAACATCTGGAGGGCCAAGTTTGCCTATGCCTGAGCTAGCCTATTGTACAAAGGGAAAGCTAGCAATCATTGCCCTGGTCCCACCCACCACTCACATGTGGCCCCCAGTAGGCCGTGCGGCCCTCTGGCTGAAAAGGATTCCCTGCCCGCTTCTCCGTGAGCCAAGTCGGTGTGATTCTGCGGTTCTACCTGGGTGGAGAATGTGAAACACGAGCTTTGGTCAACCTCTTCGTTCTGGCTTCCTTTTTCCGGGTGGAAGGAAATGTAAGCCCCTCTTTGTTTTGCAAGCTGGCAGGTGTCCAGCATGGCCTCCCCGTTGCTCTGGGATCATTCCTTTGCTTAGCTCCTAAGCCAGGGCCATGTTGGATTTCTCTTTTCTGCCGCCTCCTGTTTTTGTGCCGTGAGGAGAGAGGCCTCCTTGTCAGGGCACCCTGGCTTCATTTTCTGTGTGGTCTGCTATGGGGGCTGAGCAAGGAGAAGAAGCTGGAAACTCAACTGCTCGATAGCCTTTTCCATATATATATATATATATATATATATATATATATATATGCAGAGTCTTTCTCTCCTGCCTTCCTCTCTCGGCTGAATGTTCGCTTGCATTGACCTCTGAGCCCGAGAGACGCGAAGCTGGAATTGGCTGAAAAGATTCATTTGTCTGTCGGGTCCAAGGAAGGGAGAAAAATAATAACGCAGCCCTTGGCTGAAAACGTTCTCTGGGGAGATGAGGAAGGAGTGGCTGCTTTGCGCCGAGCTCTCGGCCAATTTTTATATATTTAAAAAATATTAATCTGTTCCTCCTTTCTGGCCGCCCTCGAGTGCCTCCTCCCAGGAGCCCGGATAAAAGTTGGAGAGGGCCTTCCCACCTGCATTGCGTGGGCTGTCTTGGCTTTCCTTAACCTGCTCGAACCCAGCTCTTGGCTGCTAGAGGGAGCCCACCAAAGCGGCCTTGGTTGGGGGGCTGAGATGGGGCCTGAGGGACAAAGGAAGCTGCCTTGGTGCTGAGGCCATCTCCGTGCCGTATACAGTGGTACCTCGGGTTACATACGCTTCAGGTTACATATGCTTCAGGTTACAGACTCCGCTAACCCAGAAATAGTGCTTCAGGTTAAGAACTTTGCTTCAGGATAAGAACAGAAATCGCGCGGCGGTGGCACAGTGGCAGTGGGAGGCCCCATTAGCTAAAGTGGTGCTTCAGGTTAAGAACAGTTTCAGGTTAAGAACGGACCTCCGGAACGAATTAAGTACTTAACCTGAGGTACCACTGTACTTTTGAAATACCACAATGTTAAAAAGGCATGGCTTCCCCCAAAGGATTCTGGGAAATGTGGTTTGTTAAGGGTGCTGAGAGTTGACCCTTATTCCCCTCACGCAGAAGACCGTTCCCAGAATTCCCCGGGAAGAGGGGCTGACTGTTAAAACCTCTCTGAGTTTCCCAGGAAATTCTGGGAACGGTCGCTCCGTGAGGGGAATAGGGGTCTCCTAAACAAGCCCATAGCCCTCAACAAATGGCTGTACTCAATATTTTCTGAAGGGAGCCATAAGGGCCTAAAGTGGTATGATGATGCTTTTAAGTATATCGTGCAGATGGGGCCACAGGCAGAGCCATGATAATGATGATAATGATAATAATACTAATAATAATTGCACTCCGCCCATCTAACTGGGTTGCAGCTACTCTGGGCGACTATACAAACACTGGCCTGGCCTAGGCCACATTTGGATGGAGGATAGAAAAGGGTCTGTGAGTGTGTCTTAAAACTAGCCTACTCTACAATAGTCTCATTTGCATGTGTTTCCCCACCCACTTTTGTCTCTGGCTCCACCCACCACTGGTCTGCGGCCCCTGGAAGGTTGCCTTTGAACAAGAGGTGGCCCTTGGACTGATGAATCTGCTCCTGTGATTGGGCTCTTCTGCATGTCTTCGGAGCATGCGCAGAGTGATGGGATCTGTATGGGCCCAGCTATCGCCTTTCTTGAGATGAACAAGAGGATTCTGCAGATTACCTTTGCGATATGCAGTGTTTCTATGGCAGGGGAACTCTCTCTGTGTGTAACACTTGTGGCAGAGAGTCACAGTTAATAGCCATCAAGGGAGGGGGGAATTACTGGATTCAAATGTATAATACATTATAATTCTCAATATTGAGAATTCACTGTGGTTCCCTGACTCTCCATAACAATTTCCCCTCCAAATTAATTTGTGTATCGCTTTGGATGTTTTATATTTCATATATAAATTGCGTTGCAGAGGGTTGCACTAGAAATCGGTGTTTCCTGACCTTTGGTCTCCAGCTGTTTTCAGACTACAACTCCCATCATCCTTAGCAAGACCAGTGGTCAGGGATGATGGGAATTGTAGTCCGAAAACAGCTGGAGACCAGAGGCTAGGAAACACGGGGTTAGACGACGGTTGGGTTCCTTCCAGTTCTACTATTCTGTAATGCCATAAATTGTAATGTCCTTTGGCTGCCTGCAATAAAGTTGATTGGGTCGACAGTGAGAATTTCAAGAAACAAGCATATGCAGCGTTTTTCGTTTAATCTGTAGGCATGCGTTCTTGCTCTGGAGCCCCGCCAGCTTCTCATTCAGCTCTCCATTCTGGAAGAGATTCCTATGGAGCCCTTTGCCACACACCCCTCCCCGACCGTGGTGTAACTAAAACATATTTTTCTCCTCTCCCCTTCCAGACTGTGGAGCATGGATTCCCCAACCAGCCCAGCTCCTTGGCCTTCGACCCCAAGCTACGAATCATGGCCATCGGCACCAAATCGGGAGCGGTGAAAATGTATCCTTTTTTCTTTAGCCTGGGCATCCCTTCCATGACACCAGAGGAAGGGGAAGGTATGGGTTGACTTGCATCTACAAAGCTTCCCAGTGGGCACCCTGTTGGGAATGGCTGTCTGATCTGGAAATGCGGTCCTCCCAGGCCTCCCTGCTCCCCTTTCTGGCCCACAGAATTCTTCCCAAACCGCACACCCTCCCACCGCCTTGCATCCTTCAGTTGTCCTCCTTTGCACCCCAAGTGTGCAGCTGGATTGTGTCCTTGAAGAATGATAACGCCTCTTGCTTGTCTGGTTAGAGAACCAAGAGGGTGTGTGTGTGTGTGTGCTCCGGATTTGATCTACTGCCCTCTTTCCCTCCCCATCCCTTCCTTACTCTTTCCCGACCCAGTTTTTCCCTTCTGTTGTTATTTCATTATTTGCATCTATATTTGCATCCTGTTTTGAAACTAAAGTGCCTCCTCAAGATACACAAACCTAATTTGGTTTGCTTACATTTTTTTGGAATTTTCTGTTTCTGTGTTTTCGAAAACAATGCCAAAACAACGGAACTGACCTGCTGCACAAAGGTAAAATGTACACCGGTTGCTCTGCTTACTTTTAAAAAATTAATCTGTTCCTCCCCACCCTCGATCGCATGCTCCCAGAAGCCCGGATAAAAGTTGGAGAGGGCCTTCCCACCTGCATTGTGTGGGCTGGCTTGGCTCTCTTTAAACTGCTCAAATCCAGGTCTTGGCCGCTAAAGGGAGCCCCCCTAAGCGGCCTGGGTGGGGGGCTGAGATGGGGCCTGAGGGACAAAGGAAGCTGCTGCATGTTTAAAACACCAGAACTTTTAAAAGGCATGGCTTCCCCCAAAGGATTCTGGGAAATGTGGTTTGTTAAGGGTGCTGAGAGTTGACGCTTATTCCCCTCATGGAAAGACCATTCCCAGAATTCCCTGGGAAGAGGGGCTGACTGTTAAACCACTCTGAGATTTCCAGGGAATTCTGGGAATGGTCGCTCCGTGAGGGGAATAGGGGTCTCCTAAACAACCCCAACAGGGACGCGGGTGGCGCTGTGGGTAAAACCTCAGCACCTAGGACTTGCCGATTGCATGGTTGGCGGTTTGAATCCCTGCGGCGGGGTGCGCTCCTGTTGCTCGGTCCCAGTGCCTGCCAACCTAGCAGTTCGAAAGCACCCCTAAGTGCAAGTAGATAAATAGGGACCGCTTACTAGCGGGAAGGTAAACGGCGTTTCCGTGTGCTGCGCTGGCTCGCCAGATGCAGCTTGTCACGCTGGCCACGTGACCCGGAAGTGTCTGTGGACAGCGCTGGCTCCCGGCCTATAGAGTGAGATGAGCGCACAACCCTAGAGTCTGTCAAGACTGGCCCGTACGGGCAGGGGTACCTTTACCTAAACAACCCCAACACCCTCAACAAATGGCAGTTCCCAATATTTTCTGAGAGGAGCCATAAGAGCCTAATGTGGTATGATTATACTTGTAAGTATATCATGCAGATGGGGCCATAGACAGAGCCATAATAATAATAATAATAATAATAATAATAATAATAATAATAATAATAAATAATAATTTTATTTGCACTCTGCCCATCTGACTGGGTTGCAGCCACTCTGGGCAGCTATGCAAACACTGGCCTGGCCTAGGCTTTTGCTTCTGGCACCACCCATTTCTGGCATGTGGCCCCTGGAGCTTCTCCCGGAAGGGAATGTGGGCCTTGCATTTTTTTTTTTAAAGGCTCCCCATTCTTGGCCTTCCTATTACCTGCCCTTTACCCTGAGGTCTCAGGTTGCAGCAATTAAAAAAACAAACAGGTTTAAAACAGTGTTTAAAACAACTTGCAATCACAGGAATAAGGCAGGTCCTAAAATATCCCCCTCAGGTGTCCAAAGCCAGAGTGAAAAGGTGTGTTTTCAGCATTTTCCGGAAGCTGTATACTGAAGGTGTCAGGTGCAGCTTTGTGGGGAGGGAGATTCACAACTTAGGGGCTGCCACAGAAAATGCCCTCTCTGCCTGGACCACCCACCCCTTGGCTTCTGAGGGCTGAGGAACTACCTCTGCTGATCTCGGTGCCCGAGTGGGTCTTTAGTGAGAAGGTGTTTTTTTCAGGTATCTGGGGCCTGCATTGTTTAGGGCAGGGCTGCCCAAACTTTTTTCAAAGAGGGCCTTCTTTTAGGATTTTACTCCAGGAGGTAGACTGCCACAGGGGCTGTATTAAACCGACCAGCGGGCCGAATTAGACCCCCGACTTTGGACATGCCTAGTTTAGGGCTATTAAGCCAGCTAACCGAGTAACTAATCCCTGAGATGCAAAAATGCCGCTTTGAGCAGAGTTCAGATGTTGTGTGTGGCCAGGGCTCAGGGTTGCAAAGATTTGGCACATTGGTTTAGAGCTGCAGATGCAGAGTGATCTAAGCCAGATATTGGAACTTTACAGCTCTCTACATTTGTATATTTTAGAGCAGTGTTCCCCAACCTTGGGCCTCCAGCTGTTTTTGGACTACAACTCCCATCATCCCTCGCTAGCAAGACCAGTGGTCAAGGATGATGGGAATTGTAGTCCAAAAACAGCTGGAGGCCCAAGGTTGGGGAACACTGTTTTAGAGCAAGTGAGAAGCCCAGGGCCCTCTCTTGCCTTACCGTTCTTGCTACTGATCTTTTTTGGGGGGGTGGGGCTGCTCAACAGGAGGTGGGTAGGGCAGTTCCATACTGCAGACACCCCTCTGAAAAATGTTCCTGGACTCCAACTCCCATCAGCCCCAGCCAGCAAGGCCAGTCGTCGGCGACGATGGAAGTTGTAGTTACGCAGCATTTGAGGAGCTGCAGGTTCCTATACCCTGATCAAAGCGTTTGTTTCCTAAAAACTGTGGACCCAAGTGCGATAGCTTGGAAGTTCCCATGAAAGCCCCTGGTGGTTTTATCGGAAAAGAAGTATGGGCTCTTACCTAGTGGGTTTCAAGTGCAATATTCATAATCCTCCTTACGACCCTGCATGGTAGGCAGGTAAACAGAGGAGAGGTTTGGACTGGGTTCATAGCTTGCTGTTTGGCCTCAACTTTTAGAAGGATGACAGCAGACCATTTGCAACGACTCAGGGTCGTCTGTGAAGTTCTTGGTAGTTGTGCTTTGGATCGAGTGAGGCCCTGAGATCTGCCAGGGACTTCCTAAAACTCAACACGCAAGGCTTGGTTTCCTTGCTGGTGGCCTTGACATAGGCTGATGGCAAAGCCGGGCTTTTGTACCAAGGGAGGCCCAGTGTTCAGTTCTCAGCGTCACTGGCAAAAAGAATCAGATCGGAGGTGATGGGAGAGACTTTTTCTGCCTGAGGCAATGGAGACCGTTTGCAGCTCAGAGTAGACTTCACTGGGCCAGGCGAACAAAGAGTGTGAATCAGTGATGGGTTCCTTTCTTTCACTTGAAATGTGCAGAGCCATGATAATGCTCAACTGTCAGAGATGTTGCCTCTTCTGCATCTCTCCAGTGTGGTGTAGTGGTTAAGAGCGGTAGTCACGTAATCTGGGTAACCGGGTTCGCATCTCTGCTCCTCCACATGCAGCTGCTGGGTGACCTTGGCCAGTCACACTTCTGTGAAGTCTCTCAGCCCCACTCACCTCACAGAGTGTGTGTTGTGGGGGAGGAAGGGAAAGGAGATTGTTAGCCGCTTTGAGACTCCTTAAAGGGAGTGAAAGGCGGGATATCAAATCCAAACTCTTCTTCTTCTTCTTCCTTCCATCAAATCTCCTTTCCCCTATTACAAATGAGAGAGAGAAAGAGAGGGGGGGGGGGAGAGAGAGAGAGAGAGAGAGATGTGGTATTCAGGAACCTTCCTATTCTCGGAATATAACAAATCCATAAGGCAGGGAGATGTTTTGCAATTCTTCTTAACTCTGGGTGGAATTCATTGCAATGCTAAGGAGGTCGTTCCATCAGCACAAGAGTTTCTGCTTGCTCAACAAGGCCATCTTCCCTCTCCGCCTGACCCCATGCCATTCTGAGAGGTTCACCCCTCCAGAGCAGATTTGCGGGGAGGGAAAACCCCATGGCGTTAGTGGGAGTCCTTTGGCTGGCTTCCGTTAGCAGAATGAGGTAGTTGAATCTGACCCTTTGTGTCAGGAATTCCCCGGAGCACTGGCCTTGAGCTGGTGGTTCAGGACTCACTTGTGAGTTGTGGCCTGATCCAAGGTTGGGTTCCAACAGGACCACTGCCACCAGGAAAATATGTTGTAAGAAATTAAGAAACGGGTCCCAAGTGCATGTTTGGGTCCTGTGTTTTTGGAAAGGGTTGACAATACCTGCTCATCACAAAGTGAGAAACAGATCCTTTCATTGTCTCCACCTTTGCATGTTTGGAACTCGGGCTGTGGGGCTGTGTATCGATTATCAAGCCACCTTACTTTTGGTGTTGTGTTTGTTCTTCCATTGAAGCCAATGGAAAACCCATCTGCTCTTCTTTTGCCTGTAACTTCAGTGTTTTCAGTCCCATATAGCATACAGTTTTCAGGCATGTTCCTATCCCTCCAACCCTCAGACATCAGACATGCCAATTTTCAAGTTTTCTCTGTGTGTGTGTGTTTTTTTTAAAGAGGCAATTAAAAAAACATAAAAGTTTCCTGCATTCCTTTTCCTCCTTCATCTTACCTGCTTGTAGCTGTGACGTTGCACCGGCTAATGAGGAGGGGTGCTACCTCTGAGGGGTGTGTGCCCCAGACAGGATGATGGAGTTGGTGCAACAGGTGTAATCCTAGTGGCATCTCCTCTCTGGCCTTCCTAAATTGCAGGTGGAGGTTTAAATTACGGGGTCAGGGCTTGGGAGCCACCTGTTTGTGTCAACCACCTGTTTTTGTCATTCCCCGGGCAGGCGGGGAGTAGCATGGAAGTTTTCTTGCTTTGCTTTGCTGCTACTGGCTTCTGTGGGGGAGAGGATGAAAGAGAAGCTCTTTTCCTTTTCATCACCTTCCCTGGAGGTGCATAGGTAGCCAACGCCTATGGGACACCTTGGGTGTC